AAACATTAAAAAAAATTTTTAATGAAAATAAAATAAGGTTATTACTCTTTTTCCTAATTAGTAACTAAAATGAGGTTACTAATTAATTAGTTAACAGGGTTTTTTTTTTTTTTACATATTTCTGTTTGTGTCTTTATACTATAGTCTTTGGAATCAAATTAAGACTACCTTCCTCTTTCTAAGACTGATTTAGGATTTCCTCATGCCCTATTGCCATAAAGCCAAGATGCAAATGTAGGAAGGAAAGAAACTGAAAATTGAGGTTTCTGATGATGATGCTTAGGTAGGTGGTAGCTGATTTTCCTCCTACCCTTCCCATACAAGATTGGTTTAGACTGATATTACAATATTTATGTCTTTTTTTTAATGTTTATTTTTGAGAGAGACAGAGCACGAGTTGGGGAGGGGCAGAGAGAGAAGGAGACACAGAATCTGAAGCAGGTTTCAGGCTCTGAGCTGTCAGCACAGAGCCCAACATGGGGCTCGAACTCACGGACCCCGAGATCCTGACCTGAGCCGAAGTCAGACACTTAACTGACTGAGCCACCCAGGTGCCCTACAATATTTATGTCTTATCTGTTCTCTTTAGACAAGTCAGCAATTCCTTCTCTAGTCACAGGACAACTGGTGCTAGCTATCACCTCCAGCAATCTTTCTTTAATCAATTCCATCAGTTTTCTTTCCATCCTGCCTTAAGCAAATGAGGAAAAAATGAAAGTTTCTAAGAGCTTAAAAGAGTAAAGTTCAAGAGAGGCCAAATAATGACTCAGCATCATTAACTATCGACAACATTTAAGATAAAAATTGGGCTCTAAATTAGTCTTCAGTTTGCCTACATCCTCACTACACAAAGATTAATCAAAGAATGATTTTCATGCTCATAATGTATCTCTGAATGGTAATTTTAACACAACTGTTGCTACAATCTACAATATTTTCTCTTGATTGACAAAAAAAAATGTGAGGAGGTTCTTAAAAGATAAGTTTATTAATCATAAAAATAGCATAATTATATACATGAGAAAAGAAAGACATTTTTATGTAAAGATTTTAAAATTTTTATTTCTAATTAGTTAACATTAAGACTAGCACATTTCAAGAAAAAAGTACAGTAACATGAATTTACTTGATCTATACTTTAAGTAAAATGTCATAAACAAGATGAAAAAGAAGAGTCTTACATTATCCATACTCCATCCTGAATATATTATGGCATATACATGATTGCTTCAGAATCACCACATAATCCTGACACATAAATAATTATGCCTTTATTCTCTAATATGATGTTCACTTTTTCCTACTTATACTCTTAATCTCTAAAAAAAATAATTACATGTGAGAAAAAGAAAAGTCAGAATGAGGGACCATTTAATCTAGGCTATAACTGTAAATTGCATAGTGGAGAAGATTGTTTTAATCTGCATTTTACTATCCTGAGGAGAGCGGTTTAACCTGTGTCTTATTAACTTATAGTAGTGTAAGGTTTTATAAAATGTATTACCCAAAACCTTTCCAGGCAGATTCTCTACATCACCAATTACTTTCTGGTACTCTCCCACCTTGCCACCCCCAGCCAGGATCTTTTGTGCAACACAATGCAATTGATTTGAGGACTGTGCCCTTCACACTGTTTTTCTGCATTTATTACACACTAGGGAATGGAATGAGCTAGGCTCCATTACTCATCGCAGCTGGATTGTAGATGAGGAAGACTGGCCCCACCCACTCCTACAGGGAATTGTTACAAACATTTCAGGAAGAAAAATTGACCCATATTTTTCTTGGTTAAAACATCTCAATGTCATAAAGATAAGTTATTCTCCTAAATCAGCTATTTCCTTATGGAATAAATATGTTACCTTTTCTTCCATTTCAGAATAAATACCCAATCCCCAGATGGACAGATGTCAGAGTATCCATTACTGAAAACGCACAAATGATACAAAGATACTAGCTGCCTAAAAATCATAAAACAGAAGACAAACTTATAAAACAAGCACACAAATGAATAACTAAATCAGGTATCATTTGAGCCAACATATTTTTATATCCTACAAAAAAATATTTGCACAGCTTCCATCTTTTTGTCAGGAATAATATTAAGTCAGGTTGTTCAGCTACATCATAATTCACTAGGTGGGCAGCAAAGGGGAAGGAGGAGGGGAAGGAGCATCTATCTAATAACTAGATGCTGGAGAAGAAAAAACAAAGAAGTGGGAATAAAATCAGGTAAAACCTGCACTTGCTTTATTATGTAAAGTAAATGGGACTTTGGGGCACATAAATGTGAACAAATACCCTTCAAACATTTCCATGGTAGAAATGAAGTCTTATTTACCAAATAAATTCCCCTTCATCTAGACCCATGAAAATAGAAATTATGTAGGTATACTCCATTCTCATGGCTATATGTATAAGACTCCAAAGCACTTTATGAATAAAAAAAAATAGTTTGAGTTATTTACCATGCACTTTTAGCACAACTGAATTTTATTGTTTTCAAATAAGGTGACATTTTTATTAAATATATTGTTAGGTTATTGGGAATGTTCTACTGATCTGAAAATTTCATTTCTCAATCATATAACCTAAAGGAGAGTTTAGCCTTTATCCTTTTAAATGACTATATGCCATTAAATTGTTTCAAGGAATACCCTCTTCAAAAGAAGCTCTTTTACTTTGCCCTTTCAGAGTGAGAGAGACTCTCTGACCCTATAGACATTCACCATGGAAACTGCATTCTCTAGTCTTTGCCACTACAGTTCAGCTATAGCAAAAGTAGGGCATAAGTCTAATTTCTGGACTGAGGCCTCCAAGTCTCTCCCTAAGAGTGTGGGAGTTTCCTTATTCTTCCATTTATTAGGTTTGAAGCAGATATTTATGTAAAGTTAAATGACTTGCTCTTGCCTGAAAAGGTCATAGAAGAGGGAATCAGAGACAGAGATATATCAGAATTCTCAAATTCCCATGGCACTGCTTGGCTTCTGGAAAATAACAATCCTTCTTTATTTCTTTTAACTTGTGCTTCTCCTAACTGATCCACGTGGTGACCTGTCCCAGACTCCTTTTATGTTCATCTAGACTCTGCCAGCAAGCAGACATTCAAATGGTTGCATTCAGGGTTAATGTGTGATAAAAACAAATCTTCTTTTCATTTAGGAAAAAAAGTATAAAACAGAAACCGGTTAAACAGAAATCTTTGGACATTTAAAAAATAAAACTAACATTTAGTGGTGGCAAAGGTTATTTTTAAAGATCATTATCAATTACCTTTCATATGAACCCAGTAGCAAATGTCCCGGGGTGACTTGGATCTATACTGAACTTGTAAGAAATCCATTAAGTGAGTAGGAAATGAAAAGCAATGCTGAGATAAGGGAACCACCTTCATACAAACACACACCATACATACTTTGTAAACTATCTGATATCCTGATATCTACTAGGCTTTCAATCACTTTACTGGGGCATGTACTCAGAGCTTTAATTTTGGGTGGCCCCATAATGAGCGAAACTGGCAATCATCAAGTTAAGAAAAAAAAAAAAAATGAACCAACTATTTTATCTTATAGTCAATCTATCCTGGTTAGTTATAGCTGGTCAGAAAGAAATCAAAATGTTCCAGATTGTTTTTGGCAAACATGAAGACATCTAACATGAAATAACTATATCAATAATAAGCTGTTTGTATATACAATTTAATATTGAGTGGAAGATTATTTGGCCCTCTCCTTATTCCTTCCAAAGCTACCCATCCAAAAATATACTAGAGAGAAAGAGGAAAACTTCCATTTTCATTTAAAATTTATATAAAATGTGGACATTTCCTACCTATATACTTAAGAACAATTTTAACTGCAACAAAAGTCCTGTCATGTTTCATGTAAGCAGGAATTAATTTAGACAAGAACTATTATACAAAGGAAAAGCAATGCAAAGAAGCTAACCTATACTAATGTAAACTTTGTGAGGTAGTTAAGTGCTGCTTTCCAAATTAATACACCAGGAACTAGGGGAGATCCAGAACTTGCCTAGGACAACATGAGGTAGCCGAAGAAGAGTCAGGGAGCCCATTAGTTTGACTCAGTCCACCCATCCATCAGCAAAGTACATTCTCAGTTCTGTGCCCTTGATCCAATGGCCATTCACTCCCTCCCTGTCCATATGATTAAGTCAATATGTAGTCTAATGGGAACCCTTTAAACATTATACATATGAGGGGCGCTGGGGTGTCTCAGTCAGTTAAACATCTGACTCTTGATTTCGGCTCAGGTCATGAACTCACTGTTCATGAGACTGACTTCATTGGGGTCTGAGCTGACAGTGTGGAGCCTGCTTGGGATTCTCTCTCTTACATCACCCCCCACCCCCCGACCTTCTTCGGCTTATGCTTTCTCTCAAAATAAATAAATAAACATTTTTGAAAATCATACATATGTAATAAAAAAAATAGGATGTTGACTTATTTAACAATAATAATGTGGTCTTGATTCACATGCTCAGGAAATTCAAAGCTGTGGTAGAAACTGAAGTACAAGCCTAACTCTATACTAGAGCAAAAAGTTTGCTTTTTCTTCAGTAATCTAATTGCCAAAATATATATATATATATATATTTTTTATTTAGATGAATGTCTGACTATAAATCATATTAAAACTACTTCAAAGGCTTTTCATTCCACCTAACAATAACAAACATGCTACAAAATACTCCCTCACTAAGCCAGACTTCTCCTCTAACGGTCTCCTCTCATCTTCCTCCAGGAAACCCTGAGCTACAGTTAAGACACACACACACTTTCAGAGATTCAGAGCAGACAGTGAATCCAGCCCCAACTCCGAGACCCAGGTTTTTCCTGTAGAACACTTCCCAGAACTCATACCATTTTCAGTTTTTTTAAATGCAGCTTTTGGTCTTTGTAGGTATAAAAATGGTCACATCCCTTACTACATTCTGAAATTTTAAGCTAAAAAAAAGAAGTTGGTCCCTAAATTTAATTTTTTAAGTAGAAAACTCTTCTTCCAACAGAGGTCAAAATCCGGTTAATTGTATGACATAGGTAACAAGTGATCTCCATCTTCTCTAGGCTTCTGATCAGTTTCATAATAAAAGTTTTGATTAAAGCTCCTCTTCCCTGCCATGAAAAAAAAAAAGAACAATTAACTGAAAAAGCAAGAAATGAAATTCTCTTTTGTTGTAATACATCACCAATCTATGTTCCTAAGATCACCAACACTTTTCTATTTTCTTTCTTTGCAGAAAATTTGTCCTATACTTTGTGGAGTTGAAAAAACAAACCAACCAACCTCCACACCACCCCCCCCCCCAAAACAGCAAAAAGCCCACTCTATCAAGACCATGTAATGCTTTTGTGAATCCTAAATCAAGTCTACTAACATTTTCTTGGGCTACTGGTAGATGAAAATGCTGAGACTACATGAAATTGAAAATGTTGTATGAATTTACGTGCCTAACATTTTTTTCAGTGCCATCTTTCCTCAGTGAACATCCCTCTTAGTGTCTGTGTGGATTTCTTTTGTTTCACTGGATATTTTGTTTAAATCTTCTTTGTCACCTGGAATTTTTTTTCGTATATTTCAACAGCAGTTACAAGAAACTGAAGCATGTTAATTAATCTGTGTGTTGCTAATTAGGCTCTCCTGAATCCCTTCTTTGGTTGCCTTAGCCTAAATTAAAACGCATTTTTAATTCAGGGAACACATTCAAGCAGATGGCTCCAAAAGGCTTATCAAGAGTCTTAGGAAAGACAAAAACATCAGTCATGCTCTTTCTACTAGATACCACTGAAATGGAGCTATAGGCAATCTGCTAGCTGGAGACATAGGGATGAAGGGGAGTCCTGGTTTTTAAAAGGCAGATTCCTGGTAATACTGCTCTAACAACATTCAGCAAGGTTGGCAGCACCTCCCAGGACCAAGTCAAGATGTTCAGCAGTTTTTAAAGGAGTCTCCACCATGTACTTGGAATTTAAAAAGCATCTTCTCCAGCTTCCTTAGGTTCCAATCAATCCCTTCCTATCGGAGAGGAATCATAGGGGCTGCTTATCAGAGCAAAGGGATTCACAACAAAGGGGCAGAGGCTCCCATTAAGGCCATGTGTGTTATCATGACCCTTCATCAATTTCTTCTGCAAGCGTGTATGAATTGAAAACAACTGTGATTTTTCTCTTCAAAAAGCCAGGCAAAGATATCTGGCCTCGGTGGAACCCCATCCATGAGGAAGTACCCTTATGAGGGCAACAGGACCAAATATCAAAGTCAAATTATATCTCATTCATATATCCAATTAATGCCCATAATGGCCTCTTTATAAGATAGGTTATTTTAATTTTTTCTTTTTTTGAGAGACAGAGCTTGAATATGGGAGGGGCAAAGAGAGAGGGAGAGACACAGGATCTAAAGCAGGCTTCAGGCTCTAAGCTGTCAGTACAGATTCCCACACGAGGCTTGAATTCATGAACTGCGCCAAAATCAGACCTGAACCAAAATTTGACCTGTGACAAAATCAGACACTTAACAGTCTGAGCCACTCAGGTGCCCCAAAATAGTTTATATTTGTAACCCAAGTATGGTTATGGATCCTGAGGAACAAAGGAACTTGCCCAAAATGCATACTGAGAAAAACAAATGGAAAGCAATGGAGAGAAATTTAAGATTAACTTGATAAAAGCAAGAGATAAATAATGAAATCTGTGTTATTCAAAGCATACTGAAAACTGTCTACCAAGATGGCAATGGAGGGAAACACTGAAATATGTGTTTCCTTTTTGGCTGTTCAAGTGTTTTTCATAGAAACTGTCCCCGAAAAATATTTTAGAGCATTAAATCACAGGTGATATCTGTGGTAACAGGAGAGAAAATATAACATAGCCCAGGAATCTCTAGGTCAGAACAGAAAGTTTTAAAACTTCTCCACCATTTGCTATCATTGTGATCTTAAGTCCCTTAAGATGTTTCCTCTCTTCATTTATAAAATAAAATATAAAACATTCAACTTATAAAGCCATTATGATGAATAAATGAAGTAATCTATGTGGAAGTGTATTAACTATACTGGCTGTATTAATTGATAAGCGCTGGTTATCACCAGAACCCATGTCATGAGGACAGGATTTATGTTATGCACTCACACTGGTGGCACTATTCTAAGGCACAGGTTAAGAACCTGCATAAGAGGCTGTCACAAATGCTTACATTTGATGTTCTCTCACAAAAGCTACAAACTCAGGATCACTGGCATACAGTTCCAAAATTTTCATTCTTTCTTGAATTTCCTTAGAAAAGAAAAAGAGACCATATATTGCATTAGAAAAACCTCAACAGCTTTTTTTTGAAGGAGTTCTCGGTTTTCATAAGGAAATGTGGCTTCCTGGGCTATCCAGGAAAGAGCTATAGGACAGAATGGCCTTTTCAGAGAAATGAAGATTTGGTTACTGCATGAAGCACTCTGAATAACTCGGGCATATATTCCTACAGAAGGCAGGGAGGAAAGAGACAGCATTTGTTAATAAGGGGGAAAGAAAGCACTGGGGTGGGAAATAAAGTACAACTCAGAACTGTATATCTCCTGCATACCACATCAATTGGGAGATAGCATGAGGTAAAAAACGGATCATGAAATATTTTTCATTGTTTTTTGAGGCCCATGTACTTGCATGTGTATGCATGCACACACATACATAAACATAAACACACACACACACACACATACCAGCAGCAGCAGCAACAGAAAAGCAAAGTTACCTACTTCTTTGGAAAGCTCACTGTTCTCATACATTTGCCTGATTTCTTCCCTGCTCAGACCACCAATCATCTCTCCACTTGCAGAGCTGTAGAAGGGGTGCTGAGGATAGGGTCCCTCATACTGCTCCGGTCCAGCCACATGGCTTTCATATGTAGGGTACTTCACACCATTTTCAACTGATGAGAGGCTGTCAGGCTGCCTACTGAAATCAAAACACAAAAGTATGGTTGACTGAGGTTCTTCAGATGCTTGACTACTTCAAAGACTACTTACCTGTAGCACAATTTCTGTTGGGCAAGAAAAAGAGGTGAACTGGATAACAAATATGGAGCCGTAACTGTGAAAAATATTCAGATCAATCTCAAATATTATTTATCAGGTGTTAACATTATTATTTCCTGAACTACATGGCAAGTGCCCTATGGAATTACTGTTCCATGTCTTATTTGTTTTTATTTGCCCCAAAGTGCTTGTCAATAAATGTTGATGGGTAAATATGTCCTTCAACCCATAGTATTTGATTAAATGAATACAGCTCCATAATTCCCAGAGTATGCAAGTAAAAATAGTATGCAACCACACAGAGAATTTGAAAGAAAAATAAATACAGGCAGACCTCAATGAAATTCAATTCAAATCTACAAATATTTACTGAGCATTGATTACGTGCCTAGGATTATTCTAGATGCTGATGACCCAAAGAGTTTGTTGGAACCTGTCCTGAATATGTTCTAATGCAAAGTCAGAATCAATTTAAAAAAATGTAAGAACACTGATGGAAGTATGTCCTGGGTGCTCTAGGATCCTAGGAGATGTGTCTCCCTAGCCATGCCAGCGGGTTAGGAAAGGTCACCTGAACCTGAAGTAGCAGCTTTTACAGACCCTAGAAGCATAGAAGCAGAGTAGAACCAGGGATTGTGATCATATAATAACTAAAAGGTCTTTGAATCCCTATTCTTTTTTGTTTCATAGTTTATTGTCAAGTAGCATATAACACTCAGTGCTCATGCCAACAAGTGTCCTCCTCCATGCCCATCACCCCCCTTCCCCTCGCCCCCACCCCCATCAGCCCTCAGTTTGTTCTCAGTATTCAAGAGTCTCTCATGGTTTGCCTCCGTCCCTCTCCCCAAATATTTTTCCTCTTCCCCTCCCCTATAGTCCTCTGTTAAGTTTCTCCTGAAAAGTGAAACTTTTCACTTACAAGTGAAAACATATGGTATCTGTCTTTCTCTGCCTGACTTATTTCGCTTAGCATAACACCCTCGAGTTCCATCCATGTTGCTGAACATGGCCAGATTTCATTCTTTCTCATTGCTATGTAGTATTCCATTGTATAGATAAACCACATCTTCTTGATCCATTTGTCAGTTGATGCACATTTAGGCTCTTTCCATGATTTGTCTATTGTTTATAGTTCTGCTATGAACATTGGGGTACATGTGCCCCTATGCATCAGTACTCCTGTGTCCCTTGGGTAAATTCCTAGCACTGCTATTGCTGAGCCATAGGGGAGTTCTATTGTTAATTTTTTGAGGAACCTCCACACTGTTTCCCAGAGGGGCTACACCAGTTTACATTCCCACCAACAGTGTATGAGGGTGCCCATTTCTCCACGTCCTCGCCAGTATCTATAGTCCCTGATTTGTTCATTTTAGCCGCTCTGACCAGTGTGAGGTGGTATCTCAGTGTGGTTTTGATTTGTATTTCCCTGATGATGAGGGATGCTGAGCATCGTTTCATGTGTCTGGTGGCCATCTGGATGTCCTCTTTGGAGAAGTGTCTGTTCATGTCTTCTGCCTATTTCTTCACTAGATTGTTTTTCGGGTGTGGAGTTTGGTGAGTTCCTTATAGATTTTGGATACTAGCCAAAATCTGTATCCATTTGCATGGATGACATCTGATATGTTATTTGCAACTATCTTTTCCCATTCCGTTGGTTGTCTATTAGTTTTATTGATTGTTTCCTTTGCTATGCAGAAGCTTTTTATCTTGACGAGGTCCCAGTAGTTCATTTTTGCTCTTGATTCCCTTGCCTTCGGGGATGTGTCAAGTAAGAAACTGCTGCGGTGGAGGTCAAGGAGGTTGTTTCCTGCTTTCTCCTTTAGGGTTTTAATGGTTTCCTACCTCACATTCAGATCCTTTATCCATTTTGAGTTTATTTTTGTGTATGGTGTGAGAAAGTGATCTAGTTTCATTTTTCTGCATGTTGCTGTCCAGTTCTCCCAGCACCATCTGTTAAAGAGGCTTTTTTTTTTCCATTGGATACTCTTTCCCACTTTGTCAAAGATTAGTTGGCCATACATTTGTGGGTCCTGTTCTGAGTTCTCGATTCTGTTCCATTGGTCTATGTGTCTGTTTTTGTGCCAATACCATACTGTCTTGATGATGACAGCTTTGTAGTAGAGGCTAAAGTCTGGGATTGTGATGCCTCCCATTTTGGTTTTCTTCTTCAATATTACTTTGCCTATTCAGGGTCTTTTGTGGTTCTATAGTTTATTCTAGCTTTGAGAAGAATGCTTGTGCAATTTTGATTGGGATTGCACTGAATGTGTAGATTGTGTTGGGTAGTAATGACATTTTAGCAATATTTATTCTTCCAAACCATGAGCATGGAAGGTTTTTCCAGTTCTTTGTATCTTCTTCAATTTTCTTCATAAGTTTTCTATAGTTCTCATCAGACAGATCTTTTATATCTTTGATTAGGTTTTGTTCCTAGGTATTTTATTTTGAGTAATTGCGAATCGGATCAGTTTCTTGAAAATTCTGCTGTTGCTTCATTATTGGTGTATAAAAATGCAACCAATTTCTGTACATTGATTTTGTACCCTGCAACATTGCTGAATTCATGGATCAGTTCCACTTCTTGTGGAGTCTGTCAGGTTTTCTGTGTAGACTGTGAAAAGTGAGAGTTTGACTTCTTCTTTGCCAATTCTGATGCCTTTTATTTCCTTTTGTTGTCTGATGGCTGATGCTAGGACTTCCAGCACTACATTAAACAGTGGTGAGAATGGATATCCCTGTCATGTTCCTGATCTCAGGGGGAAAGCTCTCACTTTTTCCCCATTGAGGATGATGTTAACTGAGGGCTTCTCTTAGATGGCTTTTATGATGTTTAAGTAAGTTCCTTCTATCCCGACTTTCTCGAGGGTCTTTATTAAGAAGGGATGCTGTATTTTGTCAAATGCTTTTTCTGCATCTATTGACAGGATCCTATAGTTTTTATCTTTTCTTTTGTTAATGCGATGTATCACATTGATTGATTTGCAAATATTGAACCAGCCCTGTAACTCAGGAATGAATCCCACTTGATCATGGTGGGTAATTCTTTTTATTTGCTGTTGAATTAGATTTGCAAGTATCTTGTTGAGAATTTTTGCATCTGTTTGAATCCCTAACCTACTAGCTAAAGCAGGTTTTATTTCCCCCATACAAAGGTGCTAAACAAACAGATTTCAGTTCTTGTCAGATTCTTACCCAAATTTACAATCTAGCTAATTACCACTGGAATGAGCCAAAAGGGAACAAACTGACATATCTGTCACCCTTCTAATTCCTCCCTGATTGCAAAACAGACCTTCTGGTCACATTCAACAATGACATTCCTTCAGTGTGTCTTGAGATTCATAAATACCTCTCTGACTTTGCTTATGCTCTTTCAATTAGCCACCCCCACAGCAAACATCTACTTTCTGTCCAGCTAAATATCGTAACCATCATTAAAACTTCTAAGACTCTAATTCCAGCCAAATGAATTAATCCCTCTTCCACACCCCTTAGCATCTTAATTCATACTGCTGCTTACATTTGTTTCTAATCTGACACCCTTTGAGGACAGGGACCACATTTTTATTCAACTTTATAGCTACCTCCCCTCCACTCACATCTGTATATCCAATATGGCATATAGTAAATACAAAATAAATGAATAAAAGCAATATTTTATTCCATGAAAGAGCAATTTTCCTTTTTTACCTGATGGGCCTTTCTCCTTCTCTCCTAACGTAATGAGCCTGAAGTGTCCTGACAAGGAAGAAGACAACACCAGACGCAACAAGGACAATTCCAACCATGGTGGCAATGGTAATGCCTATTACCAGGGGTTCGGACACAAACTCCTCACAATGCTCACCTCGGTACCACCAGTTCTCACCCACCCGGCATCTGTAATGAGAAAAGACAAAGTCCAAAAACAGAACCACTGTGCTGAAAATAACAATGGCAGGACTTTCGGTGGGACTGGGGAAAGGTAGCAAAATAAGTACTGACTACATGAAACTTTGGTAAAGAAGTGAACATAACAGGTTAAGTGACCAAACAATTTAAGGTTGTGATTAATGACTGGTACAGACCCAGCAGGTCTTCCATGACAATTTGTAAATAACTAAATAAAAGACTAGACTAAAAGAAAGTATTCTATTTAACTTTCTTATTTACACTTAACAAAATTCAGGCCCAGGAAGGATAGTGACTGTGAGATTACACAATTAGTCTGCAACAAATCTGGGTCTAGAACTCGAATCTCTGGACTCCTCATCTCCTTTCACCACACTGCAGAGATTTCCCCCAACCCTGAGGCCCCAGGCTTGTGCAAAAGTGTCTTCAATTTCCAGAGCAGCAAGGAAATGACTGCTTTTCAAAATAATATTAATTTCTCTAGAAATAAAAAAACGATTTGTCATTGGAGTTTTCTAGCTAATCTTTATACTTTTTCACACAGAAGAGTCTGATCATTCCCACCTATTTCCTCTGTGCCTGGCATGCATGCCGACATTTGCCCATTTTGACATTCACAAACTGTCCTCTTATTCGTTTCTCCTGCTTATTCTCAGTGTTCTCTCCTTTTATATCCATATGACTAGTTGCTGTGTGGCTCACAGGTTGACTAGTTTTGTTTTGTTTAAGGAAAATGAGCAGAGGAGAATGGTCAAACTACCTGAATCTGATCGTGTGTCTGCTGGACTATCATAGTTTCTGCCATTTAAAAAATGGATCTTAGGTACTTTATTTTTGAATATTCAGTAGGACCAAGAGCAGTTCAAAGCCCTTAACAACATACCCAAGGGGACAACAAAAACTTCACAGTGTACAGTATTGATCTCCTGCCTTAACCTAATTTAAGTACCAATTGCCTTATCATCACCACTAAGAACAAACAAAAAGATCTCCAACTACTTCAAGTACACTCTAAGTAAGATACACTTAAAAAATGTTTTTCTTATAGCTTCTTAAAAGTATAAAATAAAATAACCAATTGACCAGGGTATAATTCAGACCTATTAATTGACCCAGTCTTCGCATGAGAACTAGATGTTATCCATCTATTGCCTAGATATAACTTTTATAATAAATATTGCTGTGATTATCCTAAAGTCATAGATGTAGACTGTGACTACAAAGGAAGTATCTATAACCTTTGGAAGCCAAGATCTCTAATTACAACATACCTACAAATGGCCCCATGTCCAGGCATAATGTCACACTTTCCGTCATTCAAGCAGAAGTCAGGCTGCAGGTCACAGAGACTCTGACAGGGTAGTTCTTCCACACTCAGATACCCAGGATAGCATCTGCACTCTGCTTCTCCACTCCATGGGTTGACTAAACACTCAGAAAATTCATTGCATGCCTGAAACTTGCAAGGGTTGGCTTGATCACCTAAAATACCAAACAAACTAGAGTATGACACAAGAAGAGGAAAAACACAGGGACTAGAATATATGAAGCCCCGCCAGTAACACTTTCTCACTGCAAAGTACAAAAGGGCAACCTCATTCCTGAACCATTAAAGTATACCATCAGCACCAATACCACAAAAAATTCTCGCCTATCCTTGGATTGATGAAGTTTTGTCAAATTTCTCTGAAACCCAGAAACAAAGTATAAAACCCAATGATCTGGGTAAGCTTTTACATGTTTTACCAAAGGAGCATGTGAAAGCTTTAAAATCCATGCCATGTAATTGTCAGTCTAAATTCAACATAGTTTTCATGTACCATTCATTTGAACCAACCCTAACCTATTATAGTCTATCTTTGTTCTGTATACAATGCTAAATGCCAGTTCTCCACACTGAGAACATGGGATAAGGAAACAGAGCCCAGAGAAGAACTGAAAGGAGCCTCAGGGGTGAGTATAATCCAATAAGACCAGCTATGAACAAGTGAGATTTGTGGAAGCCAATGTTAGAAAAATAAATCAGCTCTATACCACCTCAGCCCATTCCCAATAATATTTTGACTTCAATAACTTTATTTTTCTTTTATTAGGTGAGAAAAAAATAAATATTTTATATTTAATTATGACAATAACAAGTCAAAACCGATACAAGGCAATGACCATTATGGGTCTTTAATCCTACTGAAGAACATCCCAATATATGTTCTTCACTGATGAATGGCAACCTGTGAATGGCAAATCAAAGACAGATGAAATAGGCAGAAATGATCCATAGACTCATCTAGATGAAAAGGCATGAAGTTTAGCCAAAAGGCTAAAACAAAGAGCACAGTCTTTCTTTCCAGAGAAACTAACATGGTTTTGAGAATCAATTATTTCCTTGCTCCTGGGGACATTAAAGATACCTTGCACAAATCTGTGACCTTGGAGTTTGGAAGATCTCTGCATCTGATTTTCCTTTATCCCATGCAGGAATGGGGAGATGAACTTGGTTCAACAGTGTTCTCCCAAAATTCATGTCTACCCAGAACCTCAGAATATGACCTTCTTTGAAAACAGGGTCTTTGCAGATGTAATCAACTTAAGATGAAGTCATATTTGATTAGGGTGGGCCCTAAACAATAATTAGTGTCCTTAAAGAAAAGGGAAATTTGGACACAGAGACACAAACACACAGAAAAAAAGGTTCATATAAAGATGGAGACAGAGAATGGAGTGATGCATCTACAAGTCAAAGATCACTGAGGATTGTTGACAAACACCAGAAGCTTAGAAAGAGGCAAGGAAGGAATTTTTCTTAGAGGAAATGTGGCCCTACCAACACCTTGATTTTGGATTTCTAGCCACCAGGACTGTGAGAGAATAAAATTCTATGTTGTTATAAACAACTCAGTTTGTGGTTCTTTGTTACAGCAGCTCTAGGAAATTAATATAGGTGACCACTGACAAGATGCTCTTATAACAAGGAGAGCATTCAAATGTGATGACAGATGACAGTTTCCATAAGCAGGATTCATCTGTGTATTTCCTAAGTCTCCACATCTTTACCTTAGTTTTCATTTTGTCACTCTGTAATCAGAAAGTAATCTAATCTTGGCCTATCAGTGAAGGAGAGGAGTATATATAGGGGGTGGGAAGGATGGTATTGTGTGGCTCCCTTTTGATGATAAAAGTTCAAAAGTTTCTGAAACATAACATGTGAAAACAAGTTAGGCAAGAGAGAAGTCAGTCTTGTCTCTAGCCATCTTTGGATAAAATAATATTTTAATTGGAAAGCTTTTAACAAAAATATATACATGCTATAGAAAAATATCTACTTAGAAATTTGAATACTTTGTGGCCATTCTATGTGTGTATAGGTGAATTTTTTGCAGGGAGAAGGGATGGAAAATACAGTGTAACAGAAAAAAATAAATCTTGCTCCCTTTGGCTTCCAGAATGAGAAAAATCAAAACTAATATGTAATCATGTAAATAAAAGAGTAATTGTCTCTTTCTAGTTCTTTGTGCAGGTTGAAGGTGAGGATCTCCAGAATGCATGACTCTCTGTTTGGAAGAGTCAAAGGTAGACCTAGCTCAGTTTAAGATAGGAGACAGGTCTAAATTATAGAATGAATACATTATGTTTGTTTTTTTTTTTTCCCAATAGAAAGCTAAGGGGAGGATTGATGGGTTCAGGAAAATAAGATTGAAGGAAATGTGTAGAGGGTCTGGAAAGACAGTGAGAGCAGCCTAAATAACATGGTAGCTGGCTGGGTCCTGGAGAAAAAGTTGGCTGGTAAGAGATGTCTTTGAAAGATTAATGGAGGAATTTAGGATGATTCCTAAACATACTTAAGCCACTCGCTATGCTACAATAAGCCTCTTCCATCACCCTCATACCATCAGCAAATATCTGATAGAATCAACTACCTTGAGTTAGAGGTGCTCTGGGAAGTGGAAAATGGGACTGTGATCTGTGTTGGGTTAACATAAAGAACCACCACATGGGTCAAGGTAAATGTGAGATTGGAAACTCAGCTCAAGTAACTCAGAGGTGGAGATGGTTAAGAAATATTTAAGTTCCCTGATAATTCCTAGAGATAAAGAGAGTAAGAAGGCCATGAACGCAGGTTTTACACTGCACAGGAGAAAAGCTAATTCCAGTTCATTTGAATATTAAAGGAAAAGATGATCCTATAAACCTAGATAACTTGCCATGCAGCTGACACGTGAGTTACACACAAAACTAAAGTAAATATACTTCCTTAATGTAATTCTATTTTTTTTTAATGTTTATTTATTTCTGAGAGAGCGTCAAACAGACAGACAGAGCAGGAGCTAGAGAAGGGGCAGAGAGAGAAAGAGACACAGAATCTGAAGTAGGCTCCAGGCTTTGAGCTGTCAGCACAGAGCCCAACGCAGAGCTAAAACCCATGAACCATGAGCTCATTACCTGAGCCAAAGTTGGATGCTTAACTGACTGGGCCACCCAGCCGTCCCTATTGTAATCTCTTTAAAAAGGTGTAGATTGACTTTTGCAAAAGTTGTATAAATCGTAACTGCTTGCATTTGTATGGATAGTCAAATGTCTTTACGTGTTTGTTGTGTAAAACTTAGACTAGCCCCACGAAATATGTAGGCCAGATAATAATACTATCCCCATTTAACATATAAGTACTAAGCCTCAGAGATAAAATAGCTCATCTGGAGTCACAGAGATGATGAATAGTAGAGCAGAAGCAAGACACCAGGTCTTAGAAATTATATTTAATTTCTTCTTCCACTGCACCACATTTTCCTCATTTTCAATGAATAATATTCCTTCAAAAAGTTCAAAGGAAAGAATGTTTGCTTCTTTCGCTGTTAAAAAATAGTGTTGACTCTTAAACCAGTTTGAGAGTAAAAGACACTAGAGAAATACAAACCTAGACATTTCACCCTACTCCTACTCAAAATCATTGTTCTCTAGTATATGGAAGGAAAAAGAGAACAAAGTTTGAGGATCTAACAGTATTCTCTTCACCCGAGTGTTCCAAATGAAAACCATGGTTCATTTCAGCCAGTCACAGTATCTTTGAATACCTCCTATATGCAAGATGCTGTGCTAGGTTTGGGCCAGGAAGTGATTAATAAATCCAATAAGGTCTCTGAACTTGTGGAAGCCCAACTGGGTAAAATAGCCACTAAGCAACTATGTGCATAAATAAGCATTATTACAAAAGTTATATAATCTATAGCAGGAAAGAATATCATATTACAGGAAGACTAGAAGGAGAGATCCAATCCAGATTATAGGTGAATCAGTGAAAATCTTGAGGAAGAGACATTTGAATTTAGGCATAAAAGGTGAATAGAAATCAGCAGAGAGGGGAATGAATTTTAGGCAACAGGGACAATAAGTATATGCAAAGGCTTTAGGGCAAGTTTCTTGAATCTGAAGAAGTAAAACAAGCTAATTTGACTACAGTATGGTGAGCAAAGAAGTTAATTTCACTGGATGATACATTGGGGGTGGGGGGGTTGGATACACCAAAGCTCATGGCCATTGAACCAGGCAGCCACTGAAGATTTCAAACAGGAAAGTGAAATAATCTGATGTTTTAGAAAGAGCACCTTGGCTGCTGTCTGGATAGGGGAAGGGGAAAAGAGAAATAGTGGGGAAATTGGTTCAAATGAGAGGTGATAATGAAGTATACAGATTTGGGACATATTTAGAATATTCACAATTAATATGTTTGGGGGTGATGGAAACTGAGTTATCAGAGTGACTTCCCAGGCTTCTGGCTTAAGTAGGTTAGTGGATAAGGCTTTCATTTCTCAAGATGGTGAAGCTGACAGAAGGACCTGATTTAGTTAAAAGATGAGATATGGAAAATAAGAGCTCATTCTTAGATATCTTAAGTTTGGTATATATAGGATACATCCAAGTTGAGATCATCAAATACATAGATATTGATTCTGGAGCTCAGAAGATAACTCTGATCTGCATATAAAAACTGTGGAGGGGCGCCTAGGTGGCTCAGTAGGTTAAGTGTCTGACTTCAGCTCAGGTCATGATCTCACAGTCCATGTGTTGGAGCCTTGCATCAGGCCCTGAGCTGACAGCTTGGAGCCCAGAGCCTGCTTCGGTTTCTGTGTCTCCCTCTCTCTCTCTGCCCCACCCCTGCTTGTGCACTCTCACTCTGTCTCTCTCAAAAATAAATAAGCATTAAAAAAATGTGGAGAGTTACTGACATTTATATAAGATTTACAATAATAGAAATGGGTAAAACAGCTTAGGAAAATAATATAGAAGGAATGAGAGTGCAAATCTTTTGGATTTGGCAACTCAGAGATGCAGCTAGAGCAGATCCAGGGGATAAGTAAAAGAGAGCTAGATATAGCAGGTAGAAAAGGGAGTGGGAGGTAAACAAGATAACACATGCGAACAACCTTTTTTAAAAGAGAATGATATTGATGTCCTTTGAAAGATCACTCAATAAAACCAAAGATGTGGAGATTCTGCCTGACATAGGACATGGTCCTCTTTTTCCTACAAGTATAGAATTTACCTTGATTCACTATAGAAGAAAATACACAAAAATAATCACCAGATTCCATTAAGAAACCCACCATTAGCATTCAATACCATTACCTGATTCCACATCAAGGGAGTATTTATCAATAGCCATGTTCATGGTCTGGTAGGCAGTGGTACAGAAGTCTTCCAGAATCATGTATACAGCATTGTTGACATTAGGAGGGACAGAGTTTGCAAACTTCATTCGGCTGTTCACCACAATACTGCCATTTCTGAAGTTCAGGATTTCTAAATTCTGGAACCCTGTGAGATTTGACTGGAGGTAGGGAACCAGCTACAATACATGAAAAGTAGTCAGTTTATTTACATGGTTTTGCCATTTTGTTCAAAACATAACAACCCCCACCCAAAAAAACAAGAATGAGCCCCTCCCCCACTTTCCCACACTATATTCTATTTACATTATTTAAACTGTTCATCAATAAAAGTATAAATTGTGAATCACTTGAGAGTCAAGAGATTTTCACAGTGATATTTAAGAATCCATGGAACTCACAGTTTTAGATACACAGAGAGTTTATTCTGTTTCACCACAGAATCACAACAGTTAAGGGGTGCCTGGGTGGCTTAGTTGGTGAAGCCATACAACTTTGGCTCAGGTCATGATAGCAGTTCACAAATTCAAGCCCCATATCAGACTCTGCTGTTGGCCTGGAGCCTGCTTTGGATCCTCTGTTCCCCTCTCTCTCTGCCTCTGTCCTGCTTGTGCTCTCTCATCCCCCACCTCTCTCTCAAAAATAAATATAAAACATTTTAAAAAAACACAAAAAACACAACAGTCAAGGTATTATTAGTGCCTACAAAACACTGGTCTCACAATAAAATGTGAAAAGAAATTGTAAACTTGTTTCAATCCCATGATTCCTGGAATACAATCTTCAGTATCTAACTTATTAAATCATCTTCATGCCATATTTGTGTTTTCCATTTCTTATATCTATCTGTTGTATTGTTTTCCTACCAACCCTAGGCCATGACACTATTTGTAAATTAATGTCCACAGCAGACCACACTTTCACTGGCTCAGGTCTTATGTTTGGGAGAAAGAGGGTTAGTTCATACACAATTATCCACTAATACCCATGTTTCACTTCTTGTGCTTACCAGTTCCAAAAATCTTTGCTCCAGTGCTCTATACTCCAAAGAGTTTTTATTAAATAGGTCTTCCGAAAACATCATGTTTGTCACTCGAAGGCTGAAGAAAACCACCAAAGCTCCTGCAGTCTGGGTATGACTCAAGTCACCTCTTTCTGTGGGCTGCACCACAATAGCCCTCTCTGTCGAGTGAACATTCGTAGACATTTCCACATAACTACCAACCTTGCCATTTTCCTCAGGAATTAGCTCAGGCTGATAGTAATCTGTGCTTATCCGGTCCAGCTCTAATGAAATATCCTGTACACCCATAATTACTTCATCCTCTAGCAGGGTGGAGCTTGTGGTTGGAGACAATCTGGTAGACTGTGTCATGGAAGATTTCAACCAGAGCTTGTCAGTACCCTGTAGTGTACTTGCCAATACGTCTCTGGACAATTTCCCCAGGGAAGAAGTTCTTGCCCAAACTACATCTGATTCTGGCAATATGGTCCCCAAAGGTTGCATATCTGGCTTCATTATTGAAACTTTTCTGTCAAACCATTCACGGTTGGATGACTCTGTAGTTTTTTCTATATCCTCCTTTAGAAATGGTAGCTCTGGTTTACCAGTAGAAGCAGAGATTGCTGTAGATGTCAGTAGAAGAGGAGCTTTGGTAATCAAGTAATCATCAATGTCAGGTGCCTCTGATATCTGCTTAGAGAGCATTAGAGATGCAGATTGAGTTGAGGTCTCTGCAAGGATGGGTATAGTAGATCCACCAATGAGCTCTTCCTCTGCAAAGTATGTGGCTCTATCATACTGCCCATATTTTAAGTGCTCAGTACTTTGCCCTGTGGAATCTACTTTGTCATCTATAACTAATTTCTCATCTATACCCTCGGTTGGCATAAGTGACTCCTGATCTTCAAGCCATGACTTAGACAGTGGTTCAGAACTCTTCTCTAAAGAAGTCTCACTCCATGGCCAAGTAATCAGATCCACCTTTTGCCCAGACCCAGAACCTAAACCACTCTCAAATATAAACTCTTTTTCTATGGATGTGTCTGGCAGCAAAGTGCTCACTTCTAATTGGCCTTTGACTTTGGAGGCCAAAGAATCCAAGCCAAAAGGTATTGTTGTTTCTTTAGCAAGAAGATCTAAAGTGACAGAGGAAGCCAGATATGGTGAGGATGTCAAAGACACTTCAGAGTCTTCCACAGATGGTATCGTTTCCTTTGGCACTGGGTGAGTGAATGGACTTGAAGGCAATGAATGAACAGAAAGAATATCTTCTGGCCTTTCAACTTTGATTAATCCTAAAAATAAAGTTTTCCATTAATCTACAGAGTTGCCAAAATGTATTCCTAATTCTAATACAGGTATTTGGGTTTTTTCTCATTAAGTTGGGATGTACAGTTGCTGATTTTTACTTTGATATATTAGCAATAAGAGAATGTCATGTTTTTGTGATGTGGTACAATCATTCATGCATATATCCCCCTTCCCTGAGGTTAATAAGATCTCAGCTATTGAAATAATTCATCTTTAAAGATTTGATTTTTTACTCCATGAAAATAAAGAACCATATTGACTACAAAGACTGACCCTAGTGGAAACTAGATAGAAATTCTAGGAAATTTTGTCTTTGAATTCCTATTTCCTTATTATGTTTATTGCCCATCATTCTCCAGATTTACCCAATGTTTAAAATCCTGAACTCATTATTTATATCTTTGTTCAACTTCCTCTTTCACAAATATACTCCATCCATAAATCACATTGATTTTTCCTTTCTACCACAACATTTAAATCATCTACTTGATTTTCATTTCCTCATCTCTGCTGTAGCTACCCTGGTTCATCTTCTCCCTTTCTCAAGCCTAATGTAAGCTACAATCGCTATACTTGGCCCCACAATTAATACTATTAAAAGCTACTAGAATAATTTTCTTTGATTTTGTTTATCAGTATAACATTCAATTTAATAAAGCAGCTCTTTAATAGTAATTTAATTAAATTCTGTATTCTTTAATAGGATGTTCAAAATATCTATTAATTGATTCCCCCCAGCCTACCAAGTTCATTTCTTATTATTTATCTATTTGAAATCTCCATTCCAATTAAATCTGATTGTTCCCTCTTTCACACAGCTTTTCTAAGACATTTCCTCCTAATAGATGCTATCAGGCTTTTCTATTAGCCCTAGTTGCTAATCCTTCAAAACCTTTGTCATCTGATTCAATAAAGTAAAAAAGTATGGGGGCGCCTGGGTGGCTTAGTCGGTTAAGCGTCCGACTTTCGCTTAGGTCATGATCTCGCCGTTCGTGGGTTCGAGCCCCGCGTCGGGCTCTGTGCTGACAGCCAGCTCAGAGCCTGGAGCCTGTTTCGGATTCTGTGTCTCCCTCTCTCTCTGACCCTCCCCTGCTCACGCTGTCTCTCTCTCTCTCCTAGAAATAAATAAAACATTAAAAAAAAAATTAAAAAAAAATAAAGTAAAAAAGTATGAAAAGTGATTAAAATCCCTTACCATCTTCTAATATGTGAGATCCATAAGTTCCTTCCTCAGAAACCACAGGCAAGCCAGTCTGAAGCACTGCTGGGGTGACAGAATGAAGAGTCAAGCTGCTAACCTCTAAAACCTCTGGGGAAGAACTGAGGCCCACCTTCGAGGGAAAGGCTAATTCAGGTGTAGACACTAAATCACCCAAAGGGCTTTCTGACCAGAGTTCCCTGCCAGTGGTTGAGGGAGGACCAGAGCTGAAATCAAGTGGTGAAATACTGCTGGTGGTGGATTCATCTGCTGAGGGCCATTCAGCTTGAAGGGTATTATCCTGGGGGGAAAAAAAGGCTAAATCATATCATAGATAAAAGAAACACATAAAAATGTAATTCAAATATCACCTATGTATAAATTCCCAGATTTTCCAGGGACACAGAGACAATGTAATATTGGTGGGGGCGGGGAGGATGGGCTCTCCAATCAAACAGATCTCTAATCAAACCCCTATTCAACCACACACTATTTGAAAACTCTAGAGAAAAACCATGTACCTCTTGAATCTCATCTGTAAATTGGGGAGAGATGAAATAACATATTTAAAAGATTCCAAAGTGAATTTGTGGAGAAAAAATATTATTTCTCTTGCTTTAGATGGTCCATTACTCTGTCTTACTAGCTTAAATGCTCTATATACATAATTACTATTATCTGTAATTTGATGTCAAAGACCTAAGCTCATTGCCCACAGCAGGAACAAACAATTAGAAATATTATTAATCATTCTGAAATATATTTAACTACTTAAGGTTTTTTGTTTTGATATGCAATATCACATCAAAATGTGGTCTTGCATGGGGGAGGAGAAGGGGAAAAATAGTTGGCGAGAGGGAGGGATGCAAACCATGAGAGACTCTTGAATACTGAGAACAAACTGAAGGCTGATGGGGGTGGGGGGGAGGGGAAGGGTGGTGATGGGCATGGAGGAGGGCACTTCTTGGGATGAGCACTGGGTGTTATATGGAAAGGAACTTGACAATAAACTATGAAAGAAAAAAAAAATTTTTTAAATGTGGTCTTGCTACCTCAAAAGAAAACCAGCACCTATGAAATGGCATCTCACCTACAAAATTCAATTTTCTCTTTCTAGTGACTTTTTACCAATGTAGTAATATAGTACTAATAACTTTAAGAATAGAAAAATAAACAGAAACACAATCCATGAATGTGCTAATTATTTAATCATATGAAGATAAGTCTATACAGAAAAGTTGAGTGGTGACGCTAATGGGTAAAATGGTCACAGCATTTGGTGGGAGTTTATATACTTCAATCTATGCTTACTTCTAAAAAATGAAAAATAAGAAGTGCCGTATGTATAGAAGAAATTCATGAAATAGTTCCTGAGCAAAAACTGAAAAAAGAAAATAGAAAAGAACAATCATTCTCTACCCTAAATAACATTAAAATCACATGAAAACTTTTTAAGACACTGGGGCACCTGGGTGACTCAATTGGTTAAATGTCTGACTCTTGATTTCAACTCAGGTTATGATCTCACAGTTCCTGAGATCAATCCCGCATGTGGCCCTGAGCTAACAGTGTGGAGCTTGCTTGGGTTCTCTCTCTCTCTCAATTAATTAATTAATTAATTAAAACAAAAAAAAAACCCCACCAATGTCCAGGCCTCACACCCTAGAGATTCCAACCTAATTGGCTGAGGATAGGACTTAGACATGGTACTTTTAAAAACTCTCCAGTAGAAGATACAGGCTGACCATATTCTGGCTACAATATTACAGGCTGTGTTTCTAAAATACTTGGTTCATTGTTGAATTGTATTTCTCATCAGGTAGACCCTTTAAGAAACCCCCTGGTGCTGGGTTCAAGATGTCAGCTTGGAAGACACTGAACACACCTCCACCTATGTACACAGCAAATAAAGAGCTACATATGAAAAAATTCCTTCTGGAAAAGTCCTGAAAACTAGATAAACAGCATGTCCACAACAAAAAAAGGGCCACACTGAGTTGACTAGGAGAGTCAGAGATATGCTTTCACCAAAACCCACTCAAAGACTTGCAATCCACAATCAGAATGAAATCTCACCAATATGGAACTTTTTCCTGAGGAGCAAGGAGTTTGCACTCCACATCATACACCTCAGCCCTTCAGTCCTGCACCCCTGAGACCAGCCATCCAAACAAAAAACCAACAGGGATTATGTCCAGAACTGTTGGGAATGGAGAACCTGACCTTAAAGGACTCACTCAAGACTTACTCGCCCTAGGACCCAGTGCAAAAGCAGCAATATCTTTGTTTGCTTGTTTGTTTGTTGTTTGTTTGTTGTTTTAAAGGGAGTTTTTCATCTTTTTTCAATTGAAGTAGAGTTGATACACAATTTTACATTAGTTTTAGGTGTCCAACATAGTGATTCTACAACTCTAAATTATGCTGTGTCCATCACAAGTGTAGCTATCATCTGTCACCAAAGAATGCTATTATAATATAATTGACTATAATCCCTATGCTGTACCTTTCATCCCCATGACTCATTCACTCCATAGCTGGAAGCCTGTACCTCCCACTCCCCCTCTCTCTAACAGCCATGCAAAACCCCACCAACCTTCCTCTGATAATCATCAGTTTGTGTTTATGGACCTGTTTCTGCTTTTTTTGCTCATTTGTTCGTGTGTGTGTGTGTGTGTGTGTGTGTGTTAAAATTCCACATAAAGTCATATGGTATTTGTCTTTCTCTGTCTAACTTACTCCACTTAGCAGCATACCCTCTAGGTCCATCCATGTTGTTGAAATTGGCAATATCTCATTCTTTTTATGGCTGAATATCATTCCATTGCACATATATATACACACCACATCTTCTTTATTCACCTAGTGATGGACACTTAGGTTGCTTCAATATCTTAAACATAGGGGAGTATGTATCTTTTTTAATTAGAGTTTTCATTTTCTTTGAGTAAGAAACAAGTAGTGGCATTACTGAATCTTATGGTATTAAAAAGCAGAAGTTTGAAAAGCACATAAACCGTATGTAAAGGAGACACTAATCTTAAAGTAACTGTCAAAAAGGAAGGGACCTGTTAGAGCTTCCTCTAAGGACAATAGTACTGGTAGGTGCCATTTTTGCAATCTCACTCTACCTTACTAATGCCAGGGGCAATCTCCCTCCACACTGCCAGCACATGTGGGGCTCCCATCCCACATCACAGGAACATCACAGCCAGCCAGGCAAACACCACCCCACACCCCATGCCACAGCTGAGCCATAGCCAGCCAGGCAAGTGCTATATCCTTCCCACCCCAGCCCAATACAGTCAGTGAGGAGACACCATGACCTCACCCCTGCCAAAAATATATCAGCCTGGGCAAGAACCCCACCCACACACTCCCCACGCCACCTCCCAGCATGTGCATACAACCCACACAGGGATCATCCATAGAATACTTGGCTCTGGTGGCTAGAGGGGATTGTGTTTCTGGCACCCAGGGATAAAATCACTACTTAAGAACACTCCTACAAGACTCATGGAGGTAGACGATTTCTCTAATACATAGAAAACAAACACAAAGAATCAGATAAAATGAGGAGATAGAGGAATATGTTCCAAGTGAAAGAACAAGACAAAATATCAGAAAAAGACCTTAATGAAATAGAGAAAAATAATCTACTTGAAACAAAGTTCAAAATAATATTCATAAAGATGCTCACCAAACTTGGAAGACTAAGGGATGTGCACAGCAAGGACGTCAACAAAGAGAAAATATAAGAAAGTACCAAACATAAGTCACAGAACTGAAGGATACAATAACTAAAAAGTACATTAGAGGCTTTCAACAGCATTTGGAAGAAGCAGGAAAACACAGATCAACAAGCTAGAACACAAAGCAATTAAACTCACCCAGACAGAGCAGCAAAAAGAAAAAATAATTTTAACAAGTGACAATGCCTTAAGGGACCTATGAGAAAACATCAAGTGGAATAATATACACATTTTAGAAGTCTCAGAAAGAGAAGAGTGAAAGAGGCAGAAAACTTATTTTAATAAATAATGGCTGAAAAATTCCCTAATCTGAGAAGGAAACCATCCAATTCCAGGAAGCACAGAGATTTCCAAAAAAAGATAAATCTAAAGAGATCTACACCAAGACACACTATAATTAAAATATCAAAAGATAAAGAGAGACTCTTAAATCCAGCACAAGGAAAAACAACAAAAAAAGTTATTAAGTGCGAGGGAAACCCCATAAGGCTGTCAGCAGAGTTTTCAGCAGCAACAATGCAAGCCAGAAAGTAGTGGCATAAAGTTTTCAAAGTACTGAAAGGAAAGAATACTCACCTACAGTGAGATTATCATTCAGAAAGAGGTAAAGATAGAGTTTTTCAGATAAGCAAAAGCTAAGGGAGTTCATCACCACTAAACAGGCCTTACAAGAAATATTAAAGAGACTTCTTTTAGTTGAAAAGCAACGGAACTGATTAATGACAAGAAAACATGCAAAAGTAAGTCTCATAGGAAAAGTTAAACATATTATAAAAGTAATGGGTTAATCAATTGTAAAGCTATCATAAAGGTCAAAAGACAAAAGTAGTAAAATTAAAACTGCAATAATCAGTTAAGGTATATATAAGATAAAAAGATGTAAAATGTGACATCAAAAGCATAAAACCTGTGTGGCTCAATTGATTAAAAACCTGACTCTTGATTTCAACTGAGGTCATGATCTCATGGTTGCGAGATCAAGCCTGAGGTAGGCTTGGATTCTCTCTCTCCCTCTATCTTTTCCTCCCCTAGTCACATTTTCTCTCTCTCAAAATAAATAAATAAACATTAAAAACAAATATGGGGGGGGATTAAAAATGTAGAGTGTTGAAATGTATTCAAATTTAAGTTCCTATCAAATTAAAATGGACTGTTATGTCCATACATACATATACATACATACATATACATATGTGAATCTCATGGTAATTATACAAAGCAAAACTTGTAGTAAATACATAAAAGAAAATTAGAAAGGAATCTAAATGCAATACTAAAGAATGTTATCAAACTACAAGTGAAGAGAGAAAAAGAAGGGACAGAAGTGAACTACAAAAAAAAAAAAAAGGCAGAAAACAATTAACATAATGCCAATAAGTAGATACGTATCAATAATTAAGTATAAATGGACTAAATATCCTAATCAAAAGACAAAAAGTGGCTGAGACAAGGCTCATCTATATGCTGCCTACAAGAGATTCATTTGAGAAGTAAGGACATGCAAAGGCTGAAAGTGAAGGGATAGAAAAAGATATTTCATGCAAATGAAAAT